TTGTAACGCCCCGGATCCGATGCGCCAGGTGTCCGCCAGTTATTCGCCGCCATTGCCATGTCATTTGCTTGTGTGTTGCATTTTGCCATGTCATCATCTGCATTTCATCCGCATGTTTTTCAAAACTTGCATCCGTTCGGGTTCCTCCTGGTTCTCTCCGTTGTCCGTTCGGTGTCCAGACCACACTCGCACGCGCCCGCGGCACCCCCGAAATATTATTTTATAAGTGGCAGAAAAATGTTCTCGGAATGGGATGAAACTTGGTGTGCGGTCTTATTATAGTGTAGACAGGCCGCCTGCCAAATTTCGTCGCATTCGGAGTTCGTTTGACTGCCCAACCGTTAAATATATAACCGCGATATAGTCGGTATATTCGTCGGGTGTTTTCGGTCTCCGAAAACCGTTGCCGGCCTCTCTCCCTCTTCTCTCCTGCAGCCCATGGTCTCTACACAGCCCACTAATCCCTCCCGCAGCCCTCTAACCTCCCCCTCTGACCAGAGCCGCACGATCGCGATCGTACGGTCCAAAAGCGGCCCCAAACCCTCAAACCCTAGCTCCTTTCTATATATAGACGCCTCCCATGCCATTTTTGGCCTCCACCAACCTCCTCCCTCAATTTCCGCGCAGCCAGCCACCTCCCACCTCGGTTCCGCCGCCGCCAGCCGCAGCCCGCCACTTGGCGCCGCCGCCGGCGCGCCCCGGACCAATCCACGCGCGCCACGTCGCCCCTTGGCCGTCTCCAGCCACTGCCCCGCCGCCATGTGGCATCGCCACCTCACCCCGCTCCTCCCCGCCGCCGAGGCCCGTAGAAGCCCGCATCCGGCCCGCCCCGGGCCGATCCGGACCCGATGAGCCCGCAGCCCCGTTCGCCGCCGCTCCCGAGCGCTCTGCTCGATCTGGATCGGGAGTTCCCCTCCTGCTCGCCCGATCCCGCCGCCCTCCGCGCCCTCCGGCGAGCCACCGCCGTTGACCTCGAGGCCTACCCCGTCGCCCTGCCCTTCCATCTCTCCCTTCTCCCTTGGTTCCATCTCCCTCTCACCCCGCCGACCTTTCCTCTCGCAGGTACCCGTCGTTGCCGCCGTCGGAGTTGCTCGCGCCGCCGCCCTGGGATCCCACTGCCGTTGCCGCCACCGGGAATGGGTTCCCCGGGACCAGATCTGCCCTCTCCGGTCCTTCCCGCTGCCCTCACCGGCCGGAGTTGTTGCTGCCCCGCCGTTGACTTCGGGCGCCGCCGTCCCCTGCATCTTGCCCGTGCGCCTCAGGCACGAGGAGAACGACACCGGCGCCTCATCCTCGTGCGTAGGCTCGATCCGCCAAGGCCCAGCCACAGCACCCAGCGCGCCCCCCCTTCCGGCCTGCCGGCCTCATCTCTTCCACCGGCTGGGCCTCAGCCCACTAGGTGAGGCCACCCCCAGCGCCCGCACCCTATGCACTTTTGGGCCTGCCAGTTTCGGCCTGTTGCATTTTTTTTCTGCGCTGCGATTTTCTCTATTATCCGGGGAATTACTGTTTTACAGAAAAAACCCCTCCATGTTCATGCATTAATAATTCACAAACCGTGCATCGGATTAAAATGATTTTAACATGTAAAATGCTTAGAATTTTGTGTAGTTTAATAATATGCCTCTTTCATCCATGTTTAAAATGTTTAAAATGTTGTTTGTTTAAATTTGCTCATATGCCATGCTAAAATGCTTTATTTCATAACTAAATAACCGTTGCTCCGTTTTAAATGTTCTTTATATGTATTTGGGGTGGAAAAATGCCTAGATTAACATGGTCCACTTTATTTTCCTGTTTAACAACTTTAAAATTGTGTTTAGGGCAGAACAGTACCAAATCTATAATATGCTCATGAGGAGTTACCGGAATTGTTGTTCGTTGCTTCCGGCCTCATTTAACCTTGACTAGGTATCTAGTTTTACTTTGCTTCACCCTCTTGCCATGTTAATCAACATTTAATATTGTTGGGTACATAAACGAGATCGAACTAAATAACTTGAATGTGGTGCGTTGCATATTGAGCTCCATTTAATTTGTAGGATTGCTTGTGCCTTGCCATGCCATGCATACTTAAACCGGACATGCATCATACTTGATTGTGCATCATGCCATGATTTTGTGGTGGTTGTTTACTATGTTGTTTGCTCTTTTCCGGTGTTGCTTCTTCGGGTTGGTTCCGATAACGTCGTGTTGTGAGGATTCGTTCGTCTACGTCCGTTTGTCTTCTTCATGGACTCGTTCTTCTTCCTTGCGGGATTTCAGGCAAGATGATCATACCCTCGAAATCACTACTATCTTTGTTATGCTAGTTTGCTCGCTCTTTTGCCATGCAAATGCTACGATGCCTACCATTTGCTTGTCAGCCTCCCAAATTGCCATGTCAAACCTCTAACCCACCATGTCCTAGCAAACCGTTGATTGGCTATGTTACCGCTTTGCTCAGCCCCTCTTATAGCGTTGTTAGTTGCAGGTGAAGATTGAAGTTTGTTCCTTGTTGGAACATGGAGATGTTGTTCCTTGTTGGAACATGTTTACTTGTTGGGATATCACAATATATCGTATTTAATTAATGCATCTATATACTGGTAAAGGGTGGAAGGCTCGGCCTTATGCCTGGTGTTTTGTTCCACTCTTGCCGCCCTAGTTTCCGTCATATCGGTGTTATGTTCCCGGATTTTGCGTCCCTTACGCGGTTGGGCTATAATGGGAACCCCTTGACAGTTCGCCTTAAGTAAAGCTCTTCCAGCAATGCCCAACATTGGTTTTACCATTCGCCACCTAGCCTCTTTTTCCCTTGGGTTTCGCGGACTCAAGGGTCATCATTATTTTAACCCTCCCGGGCCAGTGCTCCTCTGAGTGTTGGTCCAACTGTCAGCTACCGGTGACCACCAGGGGCAACTCTGGGTTGGCCTACCCGTACCTAAGACAATCTGAGTGTGCCCTGAGAAAGAGATATGTGCAGCTCCTATCGGGATTTGTCGGCACATTCGGGCGGTGTTGCTGGTTTAGTTTTACCCTGTCGAAATGTCTTGTTGTACCGGGATACCGAGTCTGATCGGAATGTCTCGGGAGGAGGTCTATTCCTTCGTTGACCGTGAGAGCTTGTGATGGGCTAAGTTGGGACACCCATGCAGGGATTTGAACTTTCGAAAGCCGTGCCCGCGGTTATGGGCAGATGGGAATTTGTTAACGTCCGGTTGTAGAAAACCCGAAGTTGACCTTAATTAAAATACATCAACCGCGTGTGTAACCGTGATGGTCTCTTTCCGGCGGGGTTCGGGAAGTGAACACGGTGTTGGAGTTATGCTTGACGTAGGTTGCTATAGGATCACTTCTTGATCATACCTTTATCGACCGTGCTTTGCCTTCTCTTCTCGCTCTCATTTGCGTATGTTAGCCACCATATATGCTAGTCGCTTGCTGCAGCTCCACCTTATTACCCCAGCCTTCCTATAAGCTTAAATAGTCTTGATCTCGCGGGTGCGAGATTGCTGAGTCCCTGTGGCTCACAGATACTTCCAAAACCAGTTTGCAGGTGCCTATGTTACCGAGCAGGTGACGCAACCAAGCTCAAGGAGGAGCTCGATGAAGATCTTGCCCTTTGTGTTATTTCGTTCTAGTTGATCAGTAGTGGAGCTCAGTTGGGGTCGATCGGGGACCTTTGTCGCATTTGGGGTTCTTCTTTTATTTTGGTTCCGTAGTCGGACCTTGATTGTATCTGGATGATGTAATGCTTTATTCATGTAATTGTGTGAAGTGGCGATTGTAAGCCAACTATGTATCTCTTTCCCTTATGTATTACATGGGTGGTGTGAAGATTACCTCACTTGCGACATTGCTTTCAATGCGGTTATGCCTCTAAGTCGTGCTTCGACACGTGGGAGATATAGCCGCATCGAGGGCGTGACAATATTGGACCTACTTTTTGAATAATGTTCACCAATTACTAGCTAAGTTTCAAAAGCAATCTGTATCAAGACTAACTATTTGGCCACAATCATAATAGATTCTTGACCCACTTAGAATCTACACCAAAGGAAAGAAAACACCAGTAAGCAATTCACGGTTCAGACCAAAATATTCAATCTCAGTAGAAGTTCAAACTTTTGAAACAAAACAGGTTAAAGTACTGTTTATCTGAAATAAAGCAGAACCCACATTTGCAAGATTGTGAACCATCAGTGCAGTGGAAAACCTGGTGCAGCGCAGTGCAGAATCTGCACCAAAGAGAGATAGCACATCGGTAACCAATTCGACGGTTCAGGCTGAAGCATTCCAGTCTCAGTAAAAATCAAATATGTGCAACAAAATAGGCAGAAGTACTCTTTATCAAGAAATAGCTAGACACCCAACATTTGCCTCAGAACAGATTGTGAAACGTAAACAGACCAGTACAATGCAGAACCACCACTCTCGATTCGTAACATTAAGACACCATAAAAGGCATGGAGAACAGAACATTAGCACCCCAACTCTGATCATTGGCCGGCGGCAATGGGCTTAATCTCGTCACACGTGACGTTCTCTAGTGGCGCCATCTGTGGCTCTACCGGAGCCGTCTGTGGTTCCGGTGAAGTCGGTTGCTGCTGCTGTTCTGCATCCTGCTGCGGCTGTTCTGCGCTCGTGCCAGGTTCAGGGTGGAAGTTGATGGGGAACTTGGTGACACGGGGCTTGTCGGCCAAAATGTTTCTCTGCACCCTGTCAAGCAATAGCTTTGCTGGGGGCTCTTCTCTCAGCTGTTCCTCGTCGTAATCGTTGTTCACATAATAACCCACCCTCATGAACTCCTGACCCACGTAGGAGCATGTCAATAGCAGCACGGTGACACCAATGATGTCTTGTTCACGTATCTTCAAAGGGTCCGGTGGGTCAGCCTGAAATGGAAATGGAACATTAACTTCTAGATGCGTATTTAGTCTTTTAAACTATGAAGTTCTCTTCAAAGTAACAAAAGGAAAAATAATGTGATGAATGAAGATTTGAAACAGTGCAAGGAATTCTAGGTTTACTGTCATTATGAAGATATTGGACTTGACTGATCAGTACAGCACATCTGTTTTACCTGGAATACGAAACGGTAGGTCCCAACATTGACAGGTCCAACAAGCACACTCTCAAGTTGCTGATCATAGGTTTCATCTTCAGCTGATCCAACATATGTGAGCTTCCATTCCAGATCTGACAGGTCAAACAACAAAAATCATCAATAGTTTAGCAAGTCTGTACCCTCAAGAATGAACATATAGCAATATCTGTGCCCCCCCCCCACCCCCCATAACATGTGGAAATCAAAAATCAGCTCAACTTAGAAGAAAATTGGCCTTGCTACATGGAATAGAACATATCGATCGTGAAGACCTTAATTTGTATACAGTATTAGTGTGTTCCAATACAGGACAACATATTATGATATTCTATGTTGATTGTGAGCAAACTACTAGCCTATTGAAGCACAGGCAAATATCTCTGAAGTCTGAACTAAAGCATGGTTTCCTTGCTAATGATCCACATTCCCACACTACTGAATGGTTTTTTGCAGAACTGAAACAGACATCACAGGAGAGAAGTCCCAGTGGACAAGTCAGAATGGCATAAAAACATGACTGCATACATTAAGGCAGATGTGATTTTTGTACAGCTACACTACTGCAGGCTGCTTCGCTATTTTCTAAGGAACAGGGATGCATATTATAATTAAGGGGGCTAGGAAGCTAGCACCAATGAACTGCCTAGTCTGCTGACGAATTTATTAATAAACTGCTATGATGATAGATTCAGTCCCACCTGTATCAGGAATTAAGTATAGGATAGGATAACCAAACAAAGCCCAGATAACAGAGAGGGGCGTAATCAAACTAAATTCATTGTTGAGCTTTATCCCTAACTAAGGCGACAAGTGTTGGTTCCACGGTTGTGTTTTGGGGTGTGGGGCAGCAGTCGTGACGTGGTCTTTGAAGCCCCGTGCTCCTCCTCTTCGCAATTCTTGGCTGGAGGCTGGGCAAGGCAAATTCACTGTCGCTGCAATGGGTGTTTGCCGGCGTCTCCTCACCTACTCTGATCCTAGGCTTGCCGAAGATCTGCCTACACAGGTGGTAGGTCCACTCATACCTCGGAGGTCATGTCCCTGTGTTGCCACAGAAGCAGTTTGGTTGTGAGCTTTCTTGGGCTCTGGTGCGGCTGCCGGTAGGCACTCCTGGTGCACTAGGCCTTGGTTCCTTTGTTCTCATGCTGTGCTAGATCTAGGTCAGCTAGGGATTCATCTTTTGGTCATTCAGTGAGGATGGTAGTTCTGTTTTTGTTGTTGCCAATATTCGTTATTCACATTTGCACTATGTTAGTGCTATCCTAATGAAAATTACACGCTCGAGAGGGGGGAAAAGTACTCAAGAAATACTTTCTGACCATGTAAATGACAAGTTAACAGAAAAACAAAAGCCAAGCTCAGTGTAATTTCAGCAACAACAAAAAAAGCCAAAGCAATAGCTTCTGGCCTAGAACAACGAGACAACAGCTTCAGACTTCGCCCCACAAAAATCATCTGTAATCGGTTCTCTTGGTCACGGATCAAGATCAACATCTAGTACCTAATCCAGAGGAGTAAATTGATCCGTCCGATTTATGAATTGGACTCTGAATCCAAGACGAAGCAGCGAGCAGAGCGTTTCCGTTACACAGCCGGGCCAGTCGTTTACCCAGTCCCAGCTGCAGAAATCGCCAAGATGCACGGCGAGAACTCGGCGAGAAACGCGTATTCCGTGATATTCAGAAGAGGGGCACGGCACACCAATCGCTGCCACCTCTGGAGGCGACAGAGCAGAACAGAACAGAACAGAACCGAATCGAAGGCCGCCCGCAAGGTTCGGCGGATCCGAGGACGGCGCCTCCTACAACGAAACCCTAGCA